CAAATATATACATGGCATGGGAATTATGGTTTAGCAGTACATGTAAAGAAATAAACTCGGGGCGCCTGGGTGGCGCAGTCGGTTAAGCATCCGACTTCAGCCAGGTCACGATCTCGCGGTCCGTGAGTTCGAGCCACGCGTCAGGCTCTGGGCTGATGGCTCAGAGCCTGGAGCCTGTTTCCGATTCTGTGTCTCCCTCTCTCTCTGCCCCTCCCCCGTTCATGCTCTGTCTCTGTCTGTCCCAAAAATAAATAAATGTTGAAAAAAAAATTAAAAAAAAAAAAGAAATAAACTCAGACACAGCAGGATCTATTGAAAAAATTAGTTCTGAATTTAATCACTTCTATTAAAGGTTATTTAGCAATGAAGTGATATACTAATCACATTAATATTTATACTTAATGATGCAGTGAATGATAGCTAGGAACTGGTGAATGGATTTTAAGCCCACTTATAATCTCAATTAGAAATAAACATTTGCAAGATGAAAAACTAGTGTCAGGATGTGTGTTTATTAGTATCTTAGTCTATTTCAATGAATTTTACAAATTCATTGTCCAAACCTTAACACTGTCAATGGTCATTTCCTTGGGCTTGCAATGCCAACAAAAAGGAGAACCTCAGTTTTTTTCATCTACAAAATGGGTCTCATGGGGTCTTCTCCAGGAGACGAGTGTCAGAATTAAATGAGATACTGAGAAAAAAAGAGATTTTTTTAATTTAAATTAAAACTAATAAACCCAAACCATGAACTGTAGTTGGATCCTAGTTCAGAGGGGGTAAATGAAAAATTATAAATTTTTATAACAAATTATAAATGTGTTGGTCCATCCTGGAAATTTTAGTATGAACTGAATTTTAGAAGATATTAAGGAATAATTCTTATTAATTTTCTCAGCTGTGATAAAGATACTGTGCTTACAAAAATAATATTCTTATTGTCAGTATATACTTGTAGAAGTATTTACAGGGAAAGTATCATGACGCAACTTAGTTTCAAATGAATGAAGGGAGGAGGAAAGTACATACAGAGAAACAGGGCAGGCGAGGTCCAGCAAATTTAGCAAAATGTTAAGTGCTGAATCTGGGTGCAGAATACATGAAGTTCATTTTACCATTTATTTAACTTTTGGATATTTGGGGGTCTTTTTAGTCTTTTTTTTTAATTAACATACAGTATAATATTAGTTTCAAGCGTATGATATAGTAATTCAACATTTCCGTACAATACCCGGGGCTCATCACAGCAAGTACACTCCTTAAGCCCCATCACCTATTTAACTCAGATCCTGACCCACCTCCCCTCAGGTAACCACCCAGTTTGTTCTCTATAATTAAGAATCAATGTTTTGGGGCGCCTGAGTGGCTCAGTTGGTTGGGCGTCCGACTTCAGCTCAGGTCATGATCTCACACTCCATGAATTCGAGCCCCGTGTCGGGCTCTATGCTGACAGCTCAGAGCCTGGAGCCTGCTTCAGATTCTGTGTGTCCCTCTCTCTCTGCCCTTACCCCTGCTCATGCTCTCTCTCTGTCTCAGAAATCAATAAAAACATTAAACAAACTTTTTTTAATAAAAAAAAAGAATGTGTTTCTTGGTTGGTCTCTCTTGGTTTTTGTTGTTTCTTAAATTCCATACATGAGTGGAATAGTATGGTATTTGTCTTTGACTGACTTCTTTCACTTAGCATAGTAGTCTCTAGTTCCATCCATGTCATTACAAATGGCAAAGTTTCATTCTTTTCATTCTTTTTATTCCATTTTATACATATATATTCATCGACTGATGAATGGGTAAAGAATGTATATGTGTATATATAGATATACACACACATATAACATCTTCTTTATCCATTCATTAGTCAATGGACACTTGGGCTGTTTCCATTAATTTGGCTATTGTAGACAATGCTGCTATAAACATCGGGGTGCATGTATCCCTTTGAATTAGTATTTTTGTATTCTTTGGGTAAACACCACTGTTGAGTATTTGAAAATTTTTCTAAATAGGAAGTTCAGTGGAAAACAATTAAATGAGAGAGTGTCATTAAAATGTCTGGCTCCTATTAGCTGCTAGTTTAGGATGATTACTATGCCATTACACTAGCTGCTCTACAGACTGAACAGTGCCCTGCACACAGCAGGTAAGTAGTGAGAACTTCCTGAAAAGAAATTTAAAAAATTAACATAAAGAGTTGAAATCCTCTCAAAAGGATGTCTCCGAGTCCATGAGGGTCACAAGCTGAGAGGAGATAAAGTTCTGCTTTCTTGGGGACACCGGGCACCTAAAGCTTAGAGGTTAAGAACACTGACTTTTGAGTCTAACCCCTTGGATTTAAATCTGTGGTGGGAGCAGTAAGGTCACCTTGGATGAATTATTTAATCCCACGCCTCAATTTTCGCAGCTGTAAATGTAACATAAAAATAGTTTGTTCCTATTTCATAATATCCTTGTGAAGATTAACTAGGACAATGCACTTTAAGTGGTGCCCTGCACATAGTAAGTACCCAAATACTAGTTATTATTATAATTATGTAGGTAAAACCTCCTATCCCATTGTACCATGATCTGAGAGGTGCTACCAGTATTTATGCAGGATTGCTCCTTCACCTACTAAACTGAATCTATGGTGTTTTTCTTAGAAACTTCCCTTCAATTTTCTTCAGTTTGTAAATTTCACTAAAAGCCCACAATTTACCTATTCTTGCTTTGGTTTTCTTTACAGAGAATTCTGATAAAAGCAATGAAGTTTTCACATGACAAGTCTCTATTTGATTCTCAAACATCAATGGGTTTCTTGTAGTAGTACAAATCTAATGTTTTATAGTACAAATGCTACAAATTCAATGTGTGTAAAATGAATGTTTCAGGAATGTTTTCCAAATCTATGATATCCGTATTACATGTGTCCTCAAATAAAACCTAGTATCATTGGTGTCAGGTTTCAGATTCTCAGAGAAACAGTACTAAAAGTTGTAGACCTCTGTAGGCGTCATTCTATACCCAACTCTTTAGCTTGGGCAATCTCTGAAAGTATCTACTCTCGTGTTGTTACCTTTAAGAGATAACCAATCCTGCTTCAAATTCTATGTCTCCCTCTCTCTCTGCTTCTCCCCCACTCATGCTCTCTCTCTCCTTCAAAAATAAATAAAGAGATTTAAAAAAATTAGAAAAAAGGGGCGCCTGGGTGGCTCAGTTGGTTAAGCATCTGACTTCGGCTCAGGTCATGATCTCACAGTTCGTGAGTTCAAGCCCCACATCGGGCTCTGTGCTGACAGCTTAGAGCATGGAGCCTGCTTCAAATTCTATGTCTCCCTCTCTCTCTGCTTCTCCCCCGCTTATGTTCTCTCTCTCCTTCTAAAACAAATAAAAACATTAAAAAAAAACTTAAAAAGGGGCGCCTGGGTGGCTCAGTCGGTTAAAGCGTCTGACTTCGGCTCAGGTCATGCCACTAATGTGTTAAAATCCCAAAGGTGACAGATCCTCTTTGCACACTCCAGAGACAGTCCAATAGTAACCACATGCCTTATTTATAGAGTGCCTTACCATTTCCAAGGCATGTTTACACACAGTACCTCATTTGATCCTCACAGCAATGGTCAAGATGTTCTGGGTAGTTCTTAGCCCCAGTTTACAGGTAAGGAAAATGGCAGTCACAGTGGTGAAGTGATGTCTACTCCAAGTCACAGAGAAATTATAGGTGCTTATGTCTTACAGACACACATCCACTCCTGCCTTTTGCTCACATCCCTTCTCTGGGCTCCCATTTCCTCATTTGTGTAGGGCTCCCCGGGCTCCCAGCTCTTTCCTGAGAGACTTAATACCATACCTCCTCTGGCTGACCATCCCACTGTGGACTCTGAGCCATCTACCAGGCACACCTTACAAATACTCATTCACTCAGCACCCAAAATATAACAACATCAAAACAAGAGGAAAGCAATAGTCCTGGTTATCTTGAAACTAATCAAATAAAAGCAAGATACAAAGACCTTAGAGAGGCCACAAACAACCAAATTTGTCAAGTAAACTTAATGAGTTCCTTTTAGAACAAAAGGAATTCTACTTTTGGTCCTTTGTGACTGTGGAAAAGTTTCTTATCCTCTCTTAGCTTCAGCTTCCTCACTACAGAATGTTCCTATTACCCCCAGCCTTCAAAGTTATGTTGACCAAAAAAGAAGAAAATATACGGGAATGTATCTAACAGTACCTAGCCCTTAGTTAAGACTTTGATAATTACTTATTGAGTTGGACTAAACCTTATAGATGAAAAAATACATAAGCTTGAAATGTGACATATACCAAAGAGTAAAAGGTATAAAACTCAATATTATAAATTAGATGTCTTGATGTTAATTAAATATATACTGTTTACATGCTCCAGTTTATTATCTAAAGAGATCATTCTACTAGAATTACCTTAAATTACACTAAATAAGCTTCACAAAATGTCTAAAATATCAGTAGTTTGGATAGTTGGCTGGAATATGTGTGTTAGTTTAGCAAAAAAACTGAACCTCTAAATTTTATGAAGAAATAGCTATATAGGTATGATATATATATATCATGAGGTATGATATATATATATATCATGAGGCTTTATATATATATATATATATATATATATAATGATATATATATATATATAAATATATATATATATATATCATGAGGCTTTACCAGAAGGAGAAAAAGGAAGCAGGTGATTTTCTCAAGAACAAAATTTGAGAAGGCAGATAGGGCAGGTTTAGCAGGGGAGAGTGGGCAGTGAACAACCTGACCAAGAGTATAAAGATTCTAGACAAGATGGTATAATACAGACCATCATAACTTTGAGCCATGGTCACTCAACACACTTAGAGGTCCTGGGGCTGATACTCCATAGCATTCACCAAAGTCAACTTCGATATTGAGTTCTGGGATTTCATTTCTCTCCACGAAAATGAAAGCAGCTCCTAAATCTTTACCTTATTTAGGAAATAAATGGTGAATGCCAAACTCACCAGTTGGTTCTGGTAGGCAGTGACTGCTGTGAAAACGGTCTCTGGAAAGATGAATGTTCTGAATTCTTCAGACTTCAGATTGAGCAACGAGGCTGTGTGGTCTTTCTTCTTAATGATGTGCACCCGCGGCTGGTACTTGTGCATGGAGTTCAAAATTATCTACAACAAAGAGATGGGAAGTACTGAATATTAAGTATTTATATTGCAAAACAGGCCAAATTGCAATGAGGCAAAGAAAGAACCATAAAATCTACAGTTGTTTTTTTTTTTAATTTTTTTTTCAACGTTTTTTATTTATTTTTGGGACAGAGAGAGACAGAGCATGAACGGGGGAGGGGCAGAGAGAGAGGGAGACACAGAATCGGAAACAGGCTCCAGGCTCTGAGCCATCAGCCCAGAGCCTGACGCGGGGCTCGAACTCACGGACCGCGAGATCGTGACCTGGCTGAAGTCGGACGCTTAACCGACTGCGCCACCCAGGCGCCCCTAAAATCTATAGTTTTGAATATAAGTTTTAAGAGTAGAAGCCACTCTTTCCACTCTTTTTTTTTTTTTTTTAATGTTGATTTATTTTTGAGAGACAGAGACAGAGCATGAGCAGGGGAGGGGCAGAGAGAGAGGGAGACATAGAATTGGAAGCAGGCTCCAGGCTCTGAGCTGTCAGCACAGAACCTGACACGGGGCTTGGACCCACGAACCCTGAGATCATGACCTGAGTCAAAGTCAGATGCTTAATTAACTGAGGCACCCAGACAACCCCACCGTTTCCATTCTTAAGGCAAATCATTTTCACAGGATGCTGCAGAAACATAGTTGTGAAATCACATTTTACCAAAACAAGTGTAAATAATACAAGTTGCTTCAAGGGTCCTTTCTAAACTGATGCGGGGAAAATCATCTGAAGGATAAGTTTATTTGTTGTGTTTTTTTTTTTAATCAAGTCTTTAAAATATATTTTGTTGGTCTGGTTAGACTGAGGATGTATGTCTAAATTTTCTAAAGTAAGAACTTATATATTCCAGGAAGACAGATTGTTATTTATGTAGTAGAGAGGAATAAAAAGAATTAAGAAAGGCTAGGTGACATTAGATCTTAGAGTGCAGAAACTGTTACTTTCTAGCTCCTTCATCTTGGGCCAAATGATCTCGCCTCTCCAACTTTGTTTTCTCAAATACAAAAACTTATTAATCTCACAAGGTTGTGGTGAGGATAAGATGATGTTAACTCTCATAAGTTGCACAGCAAATAGGAAGTGCTCAGTAAACCTTAGTAGTCGTAGTAGTATTTCTGACAACTTTGTTGATTCCTGACTCACTCTTATGAACCAAACATGAATGACAGTGATGACCATCTTCTGTTTTATAGCTAGTAAAAGTTGCCCAATACTTAGAAATCATAAGTCTACCTTGATTAACAAGGCAGTATTTCTCACGAATGTTTTAAACAAAATATAATGATTTGCCATTATGAAATCCGAGCAACAAAATTCACTTTCATATATAAAGGATTTTCTACGTCTTCCCCACTGCCGCTCAGACAGCTACCTAAATCTGCAAAATTGGGCATGTCCTTCCTAGGATAACAGTGCTCACACTGTATGCCCTTCACCCCAAGGGCCTAGCAGAGAGCCTGACTTTCCTGGGCGGCATGTGATAAATAGTGTGGCAGGAGTGTGGTCAATGGCAGTGTTGATGCATCTTCTAGACTAACATGGGTGTGGTAGATGAGTATTTTTGCTGGTTTACTTTAGCAGAGTTAAATACTAGTCACTGTGGGATAACTAATATAGAATCAATCTCTGTGCTGAGATATAAGCCAACTTAAAGTTAGAGGGCATTGGGGCGCCTGGGTGGCTCAGTCAGTTAAGCGTCCGACTTCGGCTCAGGTCATGATCTCGTGGTTTGTGACTTCAAGCCCCGCGTCGGGCTCTGTGCTGACAGCTCGGAGCCTGGAGCCTGTTTCGGATTCTGTGTCTCCCTCTCTCTCTCTGACCCTCCCCCATTCATGCTCTGTCTCTCTCTGTCTCAAAAATAAATAAACGTTTAAAAAAAATTAAAAAAAAATTACAGGGCATTAACTGGCATTGAATTTTGAACATGCCATCCTTTTATGATCCCAAACCTGAAGAGGAATAACTAAAACAAAGGAGAGCTCCAAATGAATTGAAATAGACTTTAAAAAAGTCATCTCTTTATATAATACATTTATTCCAAGGAGTTTAAGATATTTACGCTCACTCATAAAACTGGAATAAACTCAAAACAAAACAAAACAAAAAACTGGAATAAATTCAAAGTGACAAAAGTATACTCTTAAAACTGATATAAGAAAAACGCTGGGCATTCATTATGTGTTGTAATAAGAAGTTACAAATAATTTTCACACATTCTCTCTTTCTCTCTCTCTATCTCTCTCTCTCTCACACACACACACACTCATACACAAAGGACAAAGCCCTAAGCTTTAAATAATGTCCCTTCTCCCATACTTACACCATCCCTAGGTCAATTTCCTTCGGGAAAAGGTGCTGGAGAGGGTCCAACCTCAGACTGAATCTCAGAGCCAGGGCTCCTTGACTATCCGCTCAAGATCTCATTGGGTTAAGGAACACTAAAAGAAATGTGAACTTTGCTTCACTGAAGAACTAAATTCCCTGAAGTAAAAAATTTTCCTGTTATAAAACTAAAAATGCATCTGTAAGAAGGGCTTCTTCCGGACTAATTCAAAGAACTTGGCTAAACTACACAGGATCTAAAAATCTTGCCTTGTAGTTTTCAGAACACACTATTTATGGTGATAAGGGGTTACATTAAATAATAAAACTTTAAAGCTAAAATGGATATTAACAATCATCTAAGACTAAACAATTTGTCAAGGTCTAATCTTGGCATAATCAGACTAGAACCCAGAGCTCCTGAAATCCAGCTTGGTGTTATTCCCACCCATGAAGTTGGTATTAAAAGGAGAACATATTAATTCTGGACAGGTGATTTCAAAATGAATTCTCAAGTCGTTCTGGAAAGACTCAAATAGTGCTTCTCAAAGCTTCACATATGGAAAATATCAGAACCATTAAAAATTTCATTTCTCCCTGGAAAGATTTCAGTGGAGTCCAACAAACTTTAATATGAATGACATTACGAATGATCTGGCCTACAGAAAATGTCTCTCAGATACTCATCATTTTTAACCTGAAAAAAAAAATCCATCAATGAAAACATCTTTTTTAAAAAAACAGAAAAGGACAGTTATCCCAACAGTCTTAAAGACAAAAGTCAATTATCTTTTCCAATACATAAAATAACAGAAACCTATTAACCTACTTGCAACATCCCAACAGCAGAGTCATGAGTACCCGGTTACTCTGATTTGGTCATGATAAACAAAGTCTCTTGTGGGCGAATGGATGGTGGCAATGTCTGAAGTGATCTGTTTGCTTCCAATTTCATTGGAAATTGATTTTCCAATTTGAAACCATGTCTAAAACTCTCTAATATATATCTAATTATAACCATCCTTTCTGAGAAAAGTTCTGAAACTTCTAAAGTGCATAGATCCAATAAAAACTAAAACCTGAAGTAACAAGAGCCTTAATAAAGGGGTAAGAGAGAGAACAATGATAGAATATCTAAGCCCAGGGAAGCAACCAATGAAATACCAATGTGCTTTCTGGCAATTGAGGCAAAACCAAAAAACCCAGTATTCTTATCAAAAAGAAGTATGCAAGTCTAAAGTTTTCTTAGCATAAAATCTAAAACATTTTTATGTCAATCTTTATTTAAGAGCATGGACTAACATCACAATTCCTTACAAAGTAGTCTTACCAAATGTGTAAAGCGCTGCGTCAATGGCTATTTGTGCTATTAATTACTGATATGAGCCCAGAATTCCAATTTCTCTTTTTCCATATTTTGATGAACTCCTTATAAGATCAAATGTTTTGTTTTTCATTTCAAGACTTCTCTGTGCCTTAATATTCCTAAGACTCTCTACAGCAGGGGTGTATGATGAGTAAAGAGCACTTCCTCAAATTTATTTGGGCATAAAACCCTTTTGTCCTATTGTATCTCCCATGAACATGGTCTATAAACACACTTTGGGAAACCCCCAAGGGAGATGTCCGTCCTATTCCCCCTATGCTGTGTCATCTAACATACCACTGACAGAAACTAGACGTTTAACCCAAGAATGGGCTACAGTAGCACCCAGAATGCACATTCCCTTTGTTTGGTTGGTGCAGTCTTAGGACATTCATAATGCCATAGGTCCCTGACTCTCTTGCATAGAAATGGCACACGGCATCCCTGTAAGTGATGTCTTAAGAAGAGGAAACAAAATTCCCTGAAGAACAAATGGATGTTTTCAATGAATGACTCGCATATGGAGGATGGGATGGGGAGAGGGAGGGGAGGAAGAGATTTAGAGGGAGGAAGTTTTGAGGGACTCCTCCATTCCATCCCAGGGAATCCACATAATCCAAGGCACTGTACTTACATGGCCATGCTGATCTAGTTCATTGTTGGTGAGTTTCACCTTTTCAAAAGACACCATCTGCTTGAGTAGCTGCTCACCAGTAAAAGGAGAATCTGGGTGTACATACAGCCTAAGAAAATTATGAGAGATTTTGTTAATCTTTAATATATTTTTAAAATCTGTTCTCTGTGGGTCATAAAATACTCTGATTCTAAAGGAATGCAAAAACTTCATGTTGGTGAATTTTATTTGCCCCACATAATCTAAAATTTAATAATACAACATCAAAATAAATCTAAAACATCTAAACGTGTTTCTTTATGTACCAGTGATCTAAAAGGGGTTTTACCTAATATATTTTCTATTGTCTGTTCAGCAAGCCATTTTTAAAAGGCAAATATTTTTCTATCTATCTAATCAACTACTGGTCTGTTTCTGTAAAATATAAAATCTTATTACTGTTGTGGGTATTTGCAAAAGAGAGACAAGCTTATACTAATTGTGTAACAAGTTCCTAGTGTAAATACTGCTAAAAGTAAAAAGAACAATGAAGGGATAAAGAACACAAAAGACAAAACAATTCTAGAGAACCCATTCATTTAAACTTGAAGATGATGCAAAAGTTTATAAATATAAGGCAAAGTAATTTTACTACAGCGGACTGCCTAACTTTTAATAGTTCACAGATCACAGTCTGTTATTTCTTCTAGTACCTTAAATACTATGACTTTTATCTAGTTAAGTGCCCACTAGATAAGAGTGAAAAAAAGCTGGGTAAACCTCATATTATTCAATGTGTTTATTCATATACAACTTAAAGGGGGGGGAAGCTTTGATGGGAAAAAAATGTATTTACCACGTATTTATCATTTATCAGCTTCTACGTGCAAGAAAACTCACAGTTAGATGTAGGCCATTTGTTCTATCTGCAAAGTATTACACAAAGTATAACTCTTTGTAAATTCAAATTCTGGTATCCACTGGATATAAGCTTGTCTGAAGTCAGGGGAGATACAGAACTCAAGAAAGAAAAGGAAGTATCCCTGATTTAATAGGACAAATCCCTTTATCCATTTAACAGGCTATTTATATCTCAATTTTATATAGGATCTTTATATCTTTAATCAAACATAAATATTATGGTTGGGGCAACATCAGTGGGGAAAAAAAATCACAAAACATTTCCTTGCAGTTTCTTTAAAAGAAAGAAAGAAAGAAAGAAAGAAAGAAAGAAAGAAAGAAAGAAAGAAAGAAAAGAAAAGAAAAGAAAAGAAAAGAAAAGAAAAGAAAAGGAAACCAGAAGTCTATGCCATGCTTTGTCACAAACAGGACTAAGAACAGAAGAATTAGGTAGCCGTACTGAAATGTGAAAGCCCGCCAGAAGCAAAGCACAAAAAAGACTAACAGCACTAGAAATTCTTACTAGACCCATATAAGAACTTTAAAGGCTTTCAGTGTATGTTTGTCTGTCTGTTGGTTTTGGAGGAGTGTTTAAAAATGCCTTTCAATCAAAGTATATTCCTTAATGATACAACCATCATAACGTTTCAAGTATACCCCTCCAAGGCTATCACTATATGAAGTTGTTTTACTGGCCAGCACCACATCCTACCTACCCGACCAAAAAAGGTTCAAAAATATTTAAAGTCCTAGAAGTTCATGAAATGTTCCTTCTTTATCAATTCAACATGGGTCTTCACAATAATAAAGACTAACGTATTTAAATATCAATTGCTTTAAAGACAACAAAAGGTCCTATATGAAAATATGACATTATTTTTTAAAAAAAGAAAAGATAACGTTACTTTAGATAATGTATATATCTTGCCATTGTGGAGATCAAATGATACTGTCCAGTATTATTTCTTCTGGTTAGGAACAACTGACTGGTAAACTTTGGTCTGAAACAATATGTTTCAAGGAATAAGAACCACAAGGAACTTCTACCATTAATACAAAAATTATCACCTCCCATGTTCCTCACCTTTCCCTTACGGAGTTATTCAACACAGCACTATTTGTTTTAATAATAATAAAGAATATTTGCTTAAAATTGGTAGAATATTTCTATCCTATAACACACCAAACACTTTTATTTAATATCAGTATAAATATACTGAAGATGAATGAAAAAAAGCATACAGGAAGCCCCTCCTCTCTCAAGTCCCCCAGGACTTAAAATTCCAGCAATAGCTTAAACATGCTTCAGTTAAGATAGTGTATTGGTACGTGCTTTCCTTCTCCAACCAGAACAGATTAGTAACATAAACAAGGCATGTCATATTTCCAAAGTCCTGCTGGCCTGCACCAGCTCCTCATACCTTCAGATAGGAAGAAAACAGATGCTAAATAAGAGGGATTAACTTCTTAGAGGAAAGACTTTGGGGAGAGAAAAAAAGAAGATTTGATTGTAAAAATGGTTAGAATACTGCTAAAACTCTCTCTCTCTCTGTCTCTCATTTAAAAAGATTTTGTAAAGTGTGGAAGTAAGCTTGAGAGTAGTAAGAATCAGCTCTTTAATGATAAATAGTAAAGAAAATTAATATAATCATTTTAGTACCAACTATAAGACAGTGAATCTTGCTCTATTTAAAAAAAAAATGGGTGTAACATTTTTGTAAAATGTCTTAGGCCTGCTATTTAGTATGTTATTTAATATACTGATTTGGAAGGGTTGGGAAGATGTCCTTCCTAGTCTTCTGTGGGAATGGAAAAGTCTGAGAGGCTTCTTTTAATCTTTTCTCCAGTGTATTTAGCATACCGTAAGCTCAATAATGTGATCAGTGACTAAGTAAGCTTAATATTCCATCTGAACCAGTATGTGTAAATTGTGTTGATTCTGTGCCTTGATTAAAACTCCAGACTAGATACTTACAAAGAATCAACCAAACTTCAGAGTTCCTAAGTCTATACATGTAAATAAATTATTCATTCTGATAGGAACTTCCAACAAACTACAAAAATTAGGTAATCATAAAACAACTTAAAATCAGCGAGGCTTGGCTTTAGAACCCTAACTGTAAAGTCCGCTAATATCCTTTGCTTGTATTAAAGTATTCAGTTAGATTCCTATAACTTCAGCTATTACTATTTGCATAAGCTAATATATGCTCCCCCCCCCCCAGAAGGCTAATTTGGGCAAAGCAGCAACAATAAAAAGCAGCATGTGATTTTTTAAACAGAGTTCTCCTTCAAAAACATTACCAATGAACAGCACAAAAGTAAACATATATGATCCCTAACGTATTGAGTAACATTTTGCATAAAATAATATTAACCTGTTGTTGAATTACATCCACCCACTGAACTTATTATGGAGAAGGGGTAAAAAAGAGTTTGCTTTTCTTACTTAAAATTTCTGAGTCCCTTTACTGGTCAAAAACGAATGCATTTCACCAAAATGATGTTTATTGTGTGCAGATGTTACCATATTACTAAGAAGTACTTACTACAAACAACCACTTTACTAAAATGCACTCTTCTCAAAAGGATGTTAGGGCAACCACTTCAGCAGTAGGTTTTTTCAGTCTGGTGTTAAGTAGCCAACTAGAAATGATGGGTGCCATATGAAATAGGTCTGGATCTCTAATGAATATTCTAACTGAAATTAGGAAAGCTTGTAAATGAATTACAAAAAAAGAAACAATTAAGGACGACTTTCCGTCTGTGCACAAACTCTGCCTTTCTCAGATATTTTGTAGTCAGTCCTCTGGGCTGGGAATGCTCTCTACCAGAGCTCACCACTGTAAAAACAGAACTGCTTAAAATTCAACCAGCCAGACACATTCTGCTCTCAGGGTTCATACGCACTGCATTTGCTCTGCCCGAAAATCTGGAGGCACAAACCTGGCTGGCAGTGGTGGGTCTGCCTTGCCAGCCACGAGCCAGGAAGACCGGTGGTAGGCGTAGCGGTACCTCTTGTTGTCCACGGGGACGATGTCCATCAGGACTATGTACTTGGCCTCAGGATCCACGCCAGAAAAGGATACTCGAATGGTGGGAAACATCCTCCTGACACAAGGAGACAAAGAGAATTCGCTGGAGCTCCTTCCTGGAGGCTAATGAGTCACTGAATAAAAGGGCGAGGTCCTACTCCCTCCCCGCTGACCCCCACACCCTTTTTGTTTCCACAGACACTTGAGTACTGAGACCCTCCTTCTCCCACACCTACATAATTTTAGGTGTCACCATCATAGGAGTCCCCTTTGCTACATGAAAAGTTTTGTTTTGCTTTTTAATACTGGAAGGTCTTCGAGTAGGGAAAATCGTATGCTGTATTATCAAACGTGTCAGACTCCCCCAGACCAAAGTCTCTGGAGCAGACCCAGTCTCCCAACCCTCTAGGGTTGCAGGGAGAAAACTCGGTTCAGCCACAGAAATCTAGGGCAGGTTGGGTTCGGGAGACCCTGCGGGTATTTCCCAGAGTCTACAGAGCTGGAGTGACCAGGGCTGCAGGCCACTGACCTTTAGAGTCTTTGTCCCAGGTCTGGGGAGCCACCTGCACCCCCATGCACTACCCCGTGCCTGCCCCACTAAGGCACCAAGGGGGCCTGACGCACCAGCACTCCATCCTACACAGTGTGAATTTCAAATTTCATTCCTCTGTGCAGGTTTTAATTTTAGTTTTTAATGGGAACTGGCAGCTTTTGCAAATTGAGGCCAATAAAAGGGAAGCTACTTGCCTCCCTCGAAGCACCCAGTAGCCTGCCCTACACCCCCAGCAAGATTCCTGCTTCCCTCCAGATGCCAACTCCCCACCCCAAAGCCCTCCCAGATGGCAGATCACTGGTCCCCACATCCCTCTCATCAAGGCCACGGCCACCATGGGGTTTTCCATGGCCAGATCCTGAGAAAGCAAATAAATGCTCAGAAGTCTGTCTCGCAGCTCTTTCCAAAAGCAAGTTGATAGAAAGAAGTCCTCCTTAAGGGAAGCTTCCTCTGGGTGCTCTGGACCAGTGGGGTTTCACCCAGCTCCAGCGAATACCTGAGGCCACCCGGGGCGCCACTGTCATCCCTGTACCCCTTACACACCAAGCTCCCCACCGCCACCACGGATCGCTACCTGCCCGACTTGGTGATGATCATCTCTGTTCCCAGCTCGTGGAATTTGTCCCAGAGCTCCTTCGTCTCCAGGCTGCAGGCAATTTTGGCCATTTCCTCACTGGGGATGATGGGGGTGGTGGGGATCAGTGGCTCAGTACACAGAGAGGAGGAGGAGGGGCTGCCACTGCTGCCGCCGCCGGCAAACTCCCCGTGAGCATCCAGGCTGGTCAGTTCACCCAGGGGCTGGGCACAGGAGGACTTCTCAACAAATTGTTCTGCAGGCAAAGAGAATGGAGACTGACAGCTAACGCTGTCAAGCAAAGACACAGGAAGGAGAACAGCGCAACCCAAATTGGTACTGGACTCGACTCTGGAAAAGTGAAGTTCAGAAACTCCAAGAAGGCCGTGATAACCCATCACTATATAAATTCTCATGGAATGACATACCCAGCGCTTGCTTACCGAACCAAATGAGTTCTAGAACTGTGGCTTGTTACGAACATTATGAAAGCCACTTTGGGGACTACAAATGTAAGGAGTGCATAAAGGGAAAGGAGGTGATCATGAAAGATGAAAAGCAAGTATTCCTACTGTTATCCCTGTCAAGTTCTAGACGTTGTAGCTTGTGGGATCTCCTGCCAGTCCTGCCTCTTTGACAGCCAGGAGAGACTTTTCTCCAGCGAGACCAAAGGGAACGAAGAGGTCAGCATCTTCCTTACTTTGAGAGAAGCTTTCCCTTCCGTCCTGAGCTCTCTCTCCACAAGAAAAAAGGAAAGGTGGAAGGGAAGGGAAGAAAAGTGGGGATGCGGTTAAAACGAAAAACTCAAGTCGCTTCACTTCTCTGCCTGGCTCTCAGTGTGCTAGGCTTTAATATCAGGGCAATTTTGCAATATCCCTCCCAGCCTGAGATCTTAGGAAAGACTCTAACGTATAGCTTATTAAATCACAAAAGTGGGCTCGCTAGGCCATTTTGGGAACAGGTGTGAAAAACTGTCTTGAGGGCAGTGTGTGTATTTTTCTCCCTTTCTCTCAAAAAGGTCCTGGAAGTGAGGGAAACAACCCTCAACCCAGGCTAGCAGAGTATTTAAAGTAGGAAGAACACCATCCACCATCAGGCTGGAATACCGCTGCCTATGACCCAAACATTCTACTCCACAGCTGATAAGGGCCTAGGACTACACCAGTCACTTTGATGGAATACAGGGGGACTTCTGTAATTGTCCCAATTATCTTGTATCCCTTAAAAAAGAAACTACTTGAATCTGTAATGTGAAACTGATCTCTAAACAACACTGTTCTAAGTGCCAAGGAATTGAAACAAGTTCTAAATGTAGACATAGTCATGTATATGTTATGTATCACATAAAGCATTTTATTTCCCATATTTCTCCTTGGTTTAGGGCAGGCAAGCAGGAAGCAGGGAATTTTTACCTTTTCTTCTCTTACAATAATAATCCAACTCACTGTAACATTTTAAATTAAGAATAATCAAATTAAGTATCTTGGCCTTAACTTTTCACGTTCAAAGAATGAAAAGTACGCCAGGGCAAAATCTTATTTTCAACAAATATTTTCAGAAACACATTCACCTGATGTCTTTATAGAGAATTAACACGTAGCTTCAGAAATTTTCTTATTTTTCTGACAATTGGAAAAGGTAGACTCCCTAAGCCCCAGACTAAGGACAGCCAGGGTGGGAAAGTGGAGGAAGAAGAAAATGATACCGAATTTCTGCAACACAATGTTATGTGTCAAGGGTACCTCAATAAAAAAGATCTGAAAAAATGCTCTAGTGGTTTAAGGAAGGCAGCTCTTCTAAATAGATTTTACGTGTTTAAATGCTCAATCCTGATACACTTTTGAGTCCCTACCCCACAACTGCTTCCACACCTCACACCTCTCCATCCAAAGTACCATATTCTCTGTAACAGAACCTCTAGGTGTTTCTCTTGCGGGAGTCCTCAGCTTAAAGTCACTAATTGCACTGTTGAACTACTAGCCCCTGGAAAGGACAAGAACACCTTCTGGGTCTTTCAGAGCCCGTCTCATAAGCCCAGGGGAAAGAGGTTCATTTTACAGACTGTGTATTTGCGGTGGGGGAGAAGGTGGTGGCTATATGGTTTAGAATGGAGATAGAAAGCGAGTTTTCTCAGGAAAAGAAATAGAAAAGAAAGCAATACTGAAATGACAGTGGAACTGAAAATGGCATGTTTCCCAGTCTGCTGTCTGTAATTCTGACAGGAATATTAACCCGAAGGGCTCTTTCCCTGCTAGCTACCGAACTGTGATGGGGGAGTTCATAAAGAATTCAGAGGCCTTCGAAATAGGAGTGGATAATGTTGGGCTGTCCCACCAAAATAACTTTGAAATTGGTGGTTAATATGTCTGCAAACAGTTTGGGTTTGTTTCATTGGTTGTTTCCTCTTTTTTTTTGGCAGATCTCAGGCGGATGAGAAGAACCAGGGAAAGTGAGTGAAACCTTGGAGGGGAGACTTTTTGACATTATATTTTCTGGAGATCTTCCTGTTTCCTTTTCCTTGGTTCTAAGTTGCTCTGGGGATTTTAGCTTTCTTTTCTTTTTGCCCAGCCCTCTTATTTTTCATCTTTAACCCTTTGTCTTTCATACTAGGATGGCTGTTTCAGATGTGGGATGTTAAAGTGTTGGAAAGGACAGGGAGAAAGAAAGAAAAAACACAGGGGAGAGTCAAAAAATATACTACCCTAAGTTTGCTATTTGATGTTTCTCACCATTTTCGGGCTATCGGATGATCAGAATGTAAAATAATTTTTTCCTGGGGACCCAAGAGGTGATGAGAACACTTCTTTCTCTGTTAATTGTAAAGGGACTTTGAAATACTCAAGTCCAGCAGTCTCTTTCCCACACAGTTCACTTGTGCTGAGGGGAACATAATCCCTATTTTCCCTTTACTCCAAGCCTAGTGTCTTCTATAAATGGTAAAGGTTGTTAAATAAACAGTATAGCTAAAAGTTGAGGAATTTGGAAAATGGTTACTGGCTAATGTTTTTGCCAACCTCCACTGAAAGTGATGGCGGTTACAAAACGATGTCTCACCGAGAAGTTCGGAGCTTCGGTGAAGAAAACGGTTCATGGGGGGACAACTGGCTTCTTCTACAGCATATGGCAGTGGCTTTAAGGAGTTAATTCTGTTTATTCAAGTCAAAGGAAAAACAAAATCCAACTAGTTTCTTGTTAAGTCGCTAAGAGTCTCCTCGGGATCAAATGCACACGCAGGTGTTACACGCATGGTAAATTCTGTTGAGTCTTAAAAGGGGTTAATTATTTATCTCTGATTGTTTTGGTCCCAACAAAGTTACACACTCTCCTGCACAAGTACGACTTGCCCTGGGGATTCTAGACGAATAGGTAGAGACAGTGGCTAGCGCGCATCCGAGATGGGAAACCGGTTGTCTGTGAAGCCCCCCAAAAAAAGAATCTCCCGACCCCGGCGTGGGGCCCGTGGCCTGAAGATCAGAAGCTGCCTAGAGCAGGGAAAGGCGGCCACCCTCTCAAGCCTCCCGCAGGCAGGGGACGGAGGGACAGACAGATGCGCGGCGGCCCGCTCCTGCCCTAGGCGGACAGTCGGGCAGCCCGACTTACCAAGTGGTTTGATGGTGTTCTCGGCGGCTTCCTTCTCCTTAGAGCCGCCGCTCGACATAAGCGCGGCGATGGAGAAGGCGTTGGCCCGGGAGGAGAGCTGTGGCTTGGGCGACGCCGTGAACTCCATGGCCCCCAGTGTGCGGTCCTGGCCACGCACGGGGCCTGCCGAACTGCCGTCCAGCTTCCCCAAGGGAGACAAAAACCAACACAAAGCGCAAAGTTTCCAATTGCAATCTCAGCGGAGTCGGGAACTCCAGATGAGTCAGCCCCAACCGGACAAGAGCTCCCCACTGGCCTCTGTCCCTCACTGCAAAGCCCTCCAGCCGCAGAGACTTCCCACTAGCCGGAGAGGACAGGAGAGGACCAGCCTCGGGCTCCACCGGGTGCGCGAACCCTGGGGCGCTCCGCAGGACCACAGGCTGCGCCGCCGGAAGCTGGAGATGAGCATCGGGCGCGCAAAACCCGGGGGTCTCGCGGCACCCCTGAGCGTCCTTCCTCCGTCCACGCGCTGGGGACAGCCGGAGCGGCCCAAGCTGCAGGAAAGATGCTACGGGTGGAACTCCGCAGCGAGGGGGCGGACGCCGGACAGCACCGGCGCCGGCGTGCGGAGCACAGCGCGGCGCGGAGGACACTGCGCCCGGGCGCTCGCAGCCCTGCGCCTTAATTTGCTGGCGGCAGCTATCCCAGCGGCCCGCAGCCAGTCAGCGCCTCCCCACGTCACCGCTTCCTGATTCCGCCGCCGGGGGCGGGGCAGCGGGCTGGGCAGGGAGGGCGCGCCCCGGGCGCGGTGCCCGCTCGGCCTCGCGCAGCAGCCAGCCGCGAACCTGGCACCCGTTCGGAAAAAGTGCCACCACCGAGCTGCCGCGGACTCGCCTAGCCTGGTCTCGAAGTCCCAGGGCGGAAGGGACTTGCGCGCGGTTGGGAGGGGGTATTTTTGAAGCGGCTAGGACGCGGGATCCCGAGAGTGGCCCAGTGCGGGAACCTAGACCAGAAGTAGCCTGGGGGAGTTCCTGCTTCTTCCGTTCTTTTTCTTGAGCGTGCTCAAAGTTCCAAAAGAAAGTTGGGAAGCTTTAAGTAGGGCGGAAACCCGCGCCACAGAGCCACCACGTACGGGCCAGGTCCTATTCTCTCTGGGCAGTTCCCAGGGCTGGGTGCCCTCACTCGTTGGGCTCCAAAATCTGTCTGCTTGACAGTGGGACTGGAGATACACAGCCCTGCAAAAGATATGCTGAGAGAGGGATGGGGACATTTAGCAAAGGCTGCTGCTCTCAGAACCATGGCTTCCGCTGCACACCAGTGCGCCACTTACGCGCTGTTCCTGTTCCCGTAAGGGACTCTGGGGAGTGGAACCTCCACCCAAGGGAAGGTGCGGGGCCGGCGCGGGGGCCCGAGCATGCACCCTGCGGGGACCGGGCGACACGCAGTGGGAGAGTGAGAGATCTACAGTGCTTGAACTTGGTAGACAGGGAATCTGCCTTCGCAAACTGGGCTGCGACCAAGGACTTCCCACGGCCTTATGGGGGTCGTCCTGTTGGCCTTGTTCAGCTTGAATAACTCAAATTCTCCGAATTCGCAGGGTAATCCGCTTCTCTAGGAGCCGTGTAAACTCAGGCTGACACACACACTCAAGCTGTACATGTAAATATTTGCGCTCCTTTCCAGCCAGCCGGTCTGGCGATTAGGAGCCTCTTGGTGGGTCTTACAATTTTAAAGAAAAAGAAAACATCTTCCATTTCCCACCAACCTTTTTCTCCCTTCACTGCACCCGCTGCCGTCCTGAAATAAACTTACAGTGGAAAAAAAGTCAAAGGTTGAGAACTTTTATGAAATGATGACATTTGGGGGAGTCGTGATTTAAGCCACTCTTGCCAACGTGTATCAATAGTTTCTAACATGGTGCTGCATGCAGGTGGTAAGAAACGCATTCTGATATCCATCTTCGCGTACAAAGTGTATTTGTGCAGATATTTGGGGAAATTCGTAAAATCATAGGTTTTATTGCTGGAAGGGGTTTGCACCGTGAGTAGCGTATCTCCACTTGCTTTTGAGAGGGAAACACCAGGTCTGGCATGGAGGGGACCATCTCATTTCCAGCCTGCCCAGCCGGCTAGAGGCAGACCTATGCGCAGGACCCGCACTCCGGGCCACCGGTTTGGTCACACCCTGGCCCTGCAGTTGTGTCCGGGCTGTTCAGGGGAGATCGATCCTGGAGCTAACGCCAGCTGAGAGCAAAAGGCTCTCGGATGAAACCTCAGTAAGAATAGAGGCTAAGCCACCGGGTGTGCCTAAGGATCAGTTTTCACTTTTAAGGCTTTAGTCTTTGACTGTTTTGAACAACCCAGACCTTTCGTGGTTGCTGTTGAAGGCCACTTCGCCCCCCAGCATATATCCCATCTCAGTGCACCAGTGACATTTCCCTCTTAAACGTAAGGAGCAAAGGGGTTCCTTCTCTCTGTCTCAGAAGGGAAGATTTCTGACGAGAGGGTTTTTCTTTGTTTTTAACTTTTTATTGGCGCAGGGGGTGATGTCATGGTCAGTCTAGAACTTATTATATGCTTCAAATGGGTGGCAAAGATCTTGTTGGCTACGTTTGGTTTTCAAACACTTATTATGGAATTATACCTCAATTTTTAAAAGTTGCCATTACTTTTCTACACAGAGGAAACCCCGTTTCTTTTCTTAATTATCCTAATGGTTTAGAATGGAATTTTAATAAATTTAATAAATTTCATGAGAGGGCCTTTTTTTTTTTTTTAATTGGTCCAGCGAGGGGAAAGCTGACTTGCCTCCAATCAGCTTCCACTTTTTTTTTTTTCTCTCAATTGCCACGACCACGCCGAAGCCCAGTTCTGGGTCTCTCGTTGGCAGGGAACTCCGACTAGTCCTCGTATTAAACGTAAAACAAAAAGCCAAGAAGGCCAAGTGAGCGCGCGGGAGACAGCGGGCAAACCTGAGGAGCTGAAAAGGCCACTTTAAACAAACCCGGGCGCGAGAGGTGGGCCGTTTGGGGATCCCTAACAAGCGATGCATCTTGATGGTGTTGAAACCGTGGCAGTAAAATGTATACTACAACATAATTATCGGGGGTGGGGGGGATGCTGTCCCTTCTCTTAGATTTATTGCCTTTGCAAATCAATATGGTGCTATAAAAACCGAGAACCGGTGCTTTGGCAGAGAGACGCTATCAAAGGGTGATTTAAAGCCATCCCGAAGCGGAGAGCGCTGAAGTTCTGAGGTCCCTTCAAAACCTCAGTGTTAGAGCGGGTTAACAGGTAAAGCCTCCGAAGGGGGTGGAACAAAGCAATATGTTAATTCGGAACGCTTCTCTCCAGGCCCTGCTCAGGCCAACGACAGGCGCGCGGGAGCTGCTTTGGGATACTGGAACGTGCAATCGGACCTGGAGAAGGCTTTGAATCTTGCTTGACTTTAGCCTTTGTTAGCCCTGAGACTTTGTTGGAGGTGTTGTTTAAGCCTCTCGAAGCCTCAGTTTCACCGTCTTCATTAAAACAGGGCCAATAATGTATTCCTACCTGGAAGATGGCCCCGTGGATTAATGAGACAATCTGTGTAAAGCTCCTAAACCACAGGTAACCTTAACAGTAACACCAAAGCACGTAAAACACAAGTACAGAATTTTGTTATGTCTAAATTTTGAACTACAACTTCGCGATCTTAGAGATGTATCTATCTCATAGTCTCGCCGAGTTAACTGTATAGATAGTTGGAATGTGCACAGGGGAGAGGAGTCACATGGTGATAATGGACCATTCCTTACATCCCGTTAAACTTTGGAGCCTGAGAATGAAACGTTTTGATTATACGTCTGAGTTTGGTTCTACGGTGTTTGGAGAACTGGAAGATGTCTCTTCGTGCACGCCACCCTTTCAAATTCTCATTTGTCGTCTCCGGAACTCAAAAGTTAGTGGTCCAAGAAAACAGCCTAGGAAGTAATCAGATTCCCGCTTTTTGGCCAACAGTCCCTCGCGTAACGAATGCTAGCGCAGAACCCTCCGCGGACCGCAGCAGGGACCGGTTCCCGGCTGGTCTTGGTCACCCGCCGCCAACACCAGGAGCGAGAGCTGAGCGAGGGCTGTGGGACCGGGTGCCAGACCGAGAGCGCCGCCGTACACCCGAGGGTGACAGCGGGAGAGAAGGTGAGAAAGGAGACGTGCTTCTGGGCACCCGGGCAGAGCTACTCGCGGACTTGGCCCCAAATCCCCGTTCCCATGCTCCTTTCCGCTCTCTCTGCTTTAAAATGCTTCAAAAGCGACAGTAATGGTGCCTTTGGATTCCTAAACTCGGTTTGCCCAACAGAAAAGTCCCAAAGCAGCGTAGGGAGGGCGGCCGCAGCTGCTCGGGAGGCCCCTGAAGCACCTCCCCGGGGAGAGAGCAGCGCGCGTCCCCGCGCCGGGTAGGGAGCGCGCGGCGAGGCCTCGGATTTTGACCGCCGGGCTGCAGGGGTGCGAGCCTGAGCCTTTCCCGGGGCCACCGCACAAACGCACACCCCGGTGGGGTTAAGTTTTCCTGAACCCGAGTGATCCCCCTGAAGCGCCCCCTACCCCGGGCCGCAAGCCTCCAGGCTTTCGGGCCCACCCGGAGGCCCCTGGGCCTGGCGCTCCAGGCGCATTCGCCCAGCTCAGGCTTTACGGGCAAGGCTCCTCGAGGGGTGCGGCCGGAGGTTGTCATCTGACGGTCCCGGGTGGTGTGCGTGCGTGCGCTTTTGGCCCGGGACTGCACACTTGAGACCGGCTGTGAGACTAAGGAAAGAGATATTTTGCGGGCCTAGGGAGGGCCACACTCACTTCCAGGGCCCGTGTCCTCAGGTGGTGAAGGGAAAGAAAGGTCCTTTGGGGCCGGGGCCCGCCGTACTGCGACGGTACCCAGCCAGGCCCAGGCTAGCGGAGGCCTGCAGCGGTGGGTGCCCCCCGCTCTTGCGCTCCGCAGGCCTCCCCCACCCCGGTTTCCACTAAGCGGCTCCCCTCGCGGGGGGGGCCAGAGGTCAGGCGTGGGGCCTCAGAGACCCCTCACAGGATGCTCCCCTGGGGCCGCGGCCCTCCGGCTCCTTCCCGAGACCACTCGCTTCCCAGGTCTTCCCTCTTGAGCTCGCGACTGCAGGGTTGAAAGGCCCTTGGCGCCCCTCAGGCCTCCCCCTGACCAGAGAAGAACCCGTGAGCCACAGTTGGGTGCAAAACTCGCAAGGTGATCCTAAGAACAGCATAGAAAGATTTCTCCTGACGCCGCGGGGGCGAGGC